CCCCAAAACCCCAAAACCCCAAAACCCCGTAAGAAGTTTTAGTAATTGAATGAGTCTTAATTCATATCATCATGTGTAACATCTCCCGGGTCAACGAAAGGAGTCAATTCATGAGCATCCTTGGCTTCCTCATCTTTGGTCTCCTCATCTTTATTCTTTTCTTCTTGGAAAGTACCATAATCATTGGCATTACTTGCTAAAGAAAGGTTTTTATATTTTAAAAACTCCCAATTTCAGAAAGATATCGGATAAACATGTGTTCTTTCAGCTTTGTCAAGCCCTAGATGTTCACTATGGAAGCCAAGAGCCCAACAATCTATAAAGGCTGGTTGGTTCCTCAAAAAGACCTAAAAAAAGCTAGATTTCTGATGTTAATTACGTTTTAGACTTCTCAAAGAATATCCTAAAGCTAAATGCTGTTCTTTCCTCCTTTAGGAGTGAGAAAAGGAGACTAAAGTAGAAATTCTGACGTTTTCAGTCTACATTAGGCTGACAAAGCATTTTGGAGACACAAGGGTTACAAATACTTTAACAACCTGGTAGCTAAAATTGAGCACGAAGGAATATGAAATAAAAAGGAAAATCATGCTCTAAGGTTACCAATAAGAAGGTAAATGAAAAATATTTTAGAGATGCTTTGTTTCTGAGTGATGCACTTTAGGTATTTGGCAAACTTTAGACCTGAGATCAGGAAATTTTAAGTATAAGGGGATATTAGTAAATTTAAGAGAATAGCTTTTATAAAGAGATGACTGATGGAAAAATAGCTAAGGTAAATATAGTTTATTTTCAAATCTAATAAGCGAGATCTTACCTGAAGAACTCAAGATTACTTCATGTCTCTCGATTTCTCCAATCTGATCAGCAGATACTGGAGATCTGCAAATAGGACAATTACTGTTTCTTCTGATCCAATCACTTATACATTGAGTATGGAAAGTATGTTTAGCATTACAAGAGAGTTCGGTTACTTGAACTCCTTCTTTAAAATTTTCAAGGCAAATACAACAAAGGTCATCTTTTGAATACTTCTTTCCTGTGATGCTGAGGACATCAAAAGTATTAAGAAGGTTACTCACTCTGATATTCCCAGCTTGCTGCGTTTCAGATAGAGGTGTATTATTGGTACTTCTTTGGATCATGCAATAAAGAACCATGATAATACAAGCTACAATGCAACATACTAATAATGCAACAGCTAAGATAATTCCTTCTATCATATTAAAGAGCATCCCTCCATAGAGAAAACCTGATTCTTCCTTGGTACTATTATCGGATGAATAGAATCTGATCAATCAGTATACCGCCCAAGGAGTAAATAACATAAATACGATTAAATTTAGAATCTTGATTGTTTTCTCTTTGAGAATCTTTTTCAGGAACAGAATATAAGTAATAACATGAAAGGGAAGTAAGATTCCAATTTTAATTCAAGCTGTTCATAAGATCAAAAACTTGGCATGAACTCCGATATGCTTCTCATTGACATCAAATCCCCATACAATGAACATTGCAATCCCAACTATGATGTCTCCAAGAATGCAAGTGATGTAAAACTCATGGATGTCTTTAGGCTAAAATATGTGAAAAAATATCATAAAATGAGGGAAAAAAACATAGAACACTATCACCCTTAAAGTAACATATCTGAGGAAAAATTTTTGCAAGAGTCATTTCTTTATGACCAAAATATAAATTGGAAGGCTCGATCTGTTTGTAGCTGAAATACCTAATTCTATTCATATGAGCCTGTAAAAAGCGAACCCAGGGCATTCACTATAGCAACCTCTGCTCAAAAATACAAATTATTGCTAGGTTTTATTAAAATTCTGAAAACTTGCACACTTAAGATCTGTTTCCAACTTCATCTCTAAAATCCTGAACCTTGTCTAAATCTTACTATCATGAATTGCTAAAAGCTACTTCCCAAAAAGCTATCTAGGCTATTCCTTCCATCTCTGGGTCCAAATTTGTCGTACCCTAAAAACCTAACTTTTCGGCTAATCTCTGAAGAAGACTTACTAATTCAGGATCCGAACTGTAGTATTGAGGCATCTTGATTTTTGGTGTAGACTAAAATAATTTAATTATCAATCTTAATCTGCTAATATGGGGTTTTGGGGTTTTGGGGTTTTGGGGTTTTGGGG